TTTAATTCTAGAGGTAACCCCATCCCAGGTTTACAATCTCACCTCTCCTATTAGTATAAATTCCATCCAATACCATGAGACTTTCTTATTCACTCAAAAAACACTATTTAAATGCCAAGTGATGAGCAATATGGTACCCTTGGCACACTTTCCAGCCCCTGGAGCAAGTTCCTGACCTTGTAAATTGAGATGCTCAATCTTTATCACTTGAAAGGAACAGAAGAGCATTGGTAGGGCCTGCCTGTCGCACTGTCAGAGTTGGAAGGGTGCTTGGGAATCAATTAGCATTTCTGAGGACTTGAGTCACCCACAGACTATAAATACAGCTTGACTTGGCCCCTGTAGGACTGACTCCCCTGGGATATGAGGTGGATACTGTTCATTGGGGCCCTTATTGGGTCCAGCATCTGTAGCCGAGAAAAGTTTTTTGGGTAAGTTCCTTTTGGACTTCTTCTTATTTGGTTATTTCAGAAATGTGGGAGCCAAATGGGACTGAAAATGAATGGCTGATGATAGCTCACATGGAGGAAGGAGAGCTGGACTCTTGTGCCAGCTTTGTCCCTGTGTCATCCTGGACAAGTCCACTCTCTTCTCTGAGACCCGATTTCATCTGTGAAATCAGGACTAGATGATCGCTGCGGTCTCTCCCCAGCTCCCTCGTCTCCTGCCGTTCTTTTTCTGCCTAGTTCTTTTTTTTTTTTATAAGGTCAGTTCCAGGCATCTCCTTTCTTACTCCTACATTTTTAATTACTAAGAGTTACTGGTTACTAAGAGCTACGTTATTAATTACCAAGAGTTACTGGTTACCAGAAATGATTTGTTTCCAATTTCTGCCATGCTTACAGGGAAAACCTGGGTCTCAAGCTTGTTGATTTCACTTCTTTGTTAATGGCAAAGGTTTTGCAGAGCTGGTGCTTTCTCTTGATCTGCAGTCCAGTGTTCTACCCCTGAGCTATACCCCTTCTGAGCTGGTGCTTTCCCACTGGCTTCTGGGATGTGATTTCACAGGTCTTGCCTTGACACAGCTATGAAAATGACATGCAGAGACACATGCCTGTACACCGTGTGCGCGTGTGTGTGTGTGCGCGCGCGTGCGTATACCCACATGTGCTCAGCACACTCCAAGCAGAATGCTTTGAGGCTTGCAAAGGAGTGACATTTGGGTGGTAGGAGAGGTAAAAAGGATACCATGGTGCCCTGCTAGAAGACTGAATTATAATAACTCATTACTGCATAATACTTTGCCATTTGCAAAGAGCTTTCATGTACATTATCTTTTGCGTCACGCAACCACTTTGCCAGGCAGGGGTGTTATTTTCTTCCATTTAAACATGGAAAAAAAAAATCAGCCTTAGAAATGTTAAGGAACGTGTCCAAGGCCACTTAGCTGGGAAGCGGGGGAGCTGGAAGTCTGAATGTAAAACTCGCATTCTTTTGCTATAACACAGGTTTATTTCCAGATAAAATCTTGTGTCTCCTGGATCTATCTCAGTTCACTTTCTGTTTTACTATCTGGCTAATGGAACTTTGGGTTGTTTTTCGAGGTAATTACTTATATGAGATTGACTAATTTTTATGGTGATGACTTCTGTTCACACCTGTGTCTCTATTGCCAAATAGCTCAGAAGGGTTAGGTTAGCAGGTGGCCAGGGAGATTTTCCTGCAGGCGGCTCAGCAGTAGGTGTGTAGTGACTAGACTTGCTGCCATGTGGGCTGACTCATGGATCCACCAGGCTCCTACTGCAGCTATTCATGTGGCTGAAAAAAATCTCTATTTCGCAAGATACAGACCTCTCTTGCAATCCGATGGGCACCTGGGCTGCAACAGCTGGGCCAGGCCCTAGAATGCTCTCTGCAGGAATTCTACGCAGAAAAAGCTGTGTGCCTGAGCTGATTGCAGATGGTGTTAACTGATAGTGTCATTCTCATCCCCATATCTGTTCTCACGCCACAGTTGCAAACCTAGCAAAGGTAGTGGAATTCTTCCTGGGCTCTCTAGAGACGTTCCAGACACCCAGAGTTTACAGGAACGGGAACATTGAGAGCAAGGGGAAGGGGGCCTCTGAGCATTCAAGTCGTTGGGAAGCCGGGCTCTGGATTGGCTGCTGAAGATGAGGATGATGCTTTCTCCCCACCACCCACCACCCACCACCCATTCCTCTCCCTTCCATCCGCCTCACCTATCTCCCCAGCCTCTCTTGCTCTACTGGCGTTTTCTGCCCTGACATCTTCAGGATGGGACAATAGCCAGGATGCCTAGAGGTGCCAGGCAGGCAGAGAACAGGAAGCAGTTGCAGAGCTGGTTACAGCATCAGCATCAGCGGGAAGCTGGCAGGCATCTAAGAGTTCTGTGAAACCATCTCTAAATACTCTGTGGTGGCTGCTAAGCCTGGCTGGGGAGGCAGGTGAGAAAGGCACAAAGAACGGGACACTTGGCTGCCAGCATGGTGAAAGGGGAGGGATAGATGCTCAGCCACCAAAGTGGGTATGGACTCTGTAGAGCACAGACGCCTGTGGGGGAGAGGCGGTACCAGCCATTGCACTGGCAGCAGCTGGACGCCCCTGGCTATTGGAGAGGACCGAGTTAAGAGGAGCTGCGAGAACACCTGCGTGGAACAGGAGAGGCAAACGTGGCCACCTGTAAATCCCAACACGTCCCCCTCCCAGGCCAATCTTCCATCTTCAGAAAGAGTTCAAGGTCTTTGAGTGAATTTCCAGATAGTGGAGATAGGATATGCTCGACCATCTTGAGCCTCATGAACAGAAGAGGGCATATTCCAAACAGAGAGGAGGACAGTAAGGGCAAGAAGAAGGCTGCCCTTTGCATGGCACCCCGAGACGTCCTTCCTGCTTTCGGGTGTCACTGTGCTTCTGTTCATAAGGATGATGCTACCCCACTACCGCCCCACCAATGTTCAGCGCTAACTGAAGACGGCTAGGACTGGTCAGGAAAAGCTTCATGGGTGATGTGAGTGGGTCCTAAAGATTCGATGGGACTAGATGGGCCAGACAGATGAGAAAAAGGATGGATTGCAGGCAGTGGGAACAGCATGTACAAAAGTACACAATGAGTTTGGGCTGGGACCAAGGTGGGGTAGAAGGCAGAGGTGAAGAAGAGACAGATGGAATGGGCTCCACTCTGCACCTGCCCTTCTGCCCTGCCTCTTTACATGCTACAGACATTTCTTTAACCTCTATAGCTTGGCTGATTAGAGCAGGATGAAATGGGGTTGCGGATTTAATCATACTCAGGACCAGGTGGAGACACAGTGTCCCATTGTCCTGAACCACGCCCAGGAATGTCCACAAGTTCTGTTGTGAAATCACCACTTTGGAAAAACTAAAATGCACATGCTGGGTGAATGTGTGACATGATTTTTATACTCCAAGAGCTGCTTCTTCTTATACCCTCCTTTTTTTCTTCTTCTGTTCCTTCTCTCTCCCTTTACTCTTTGTGATTACTATAGCCAGTGCTGTGTTTTACATATGCCTAATTGTGCTAATAAATATGTCGCCATGCAAGATCTTTCTAGAACCCCCATTTTTTTTTTTTTTTTTTGGAGACAGGGTCTTGTTCTGTCAGCCAGACTGGAGTGCAGTGATGCAGTCATAGCTCATTGCAGCCTTGAACTCCTGGGCTCAAGCAATCCTCCTGCCTCAACCTCCTGAGTATAGAATCCTCATTTTATTTTATTTTATTTTATTTATTTATTTTTAAGAGAATCCCCGTTTTAAAAATACCCCCTTTCTGGAGTGTTGGAGGTAGGTTTTGATACAGCAGGGGTTCAGTAGACAGGTCCTCGTCCCCATCCAGGAGTAAATATTTCCCTTCTGTTTTTTTTATTTATTTATTTATTTATTTATTTATTTATTTTTAATGTGAATTTTTTGAGATGGGGGCCTTGCTCTGTTGCCCAGGCTAGAGTGCAGAGGTGCGATCATAGCTCACTGCAGCCTTGACCTCCTGGGCTCCAGTGATCCTCCTGCCTCAGCCTCCTGAGTAGCTGGGCCTACAGGCATGAACCACTATGCCCAGCTAATTTTTTTTCATGTTTTTTGTAGAGACAAAGTCTCCCTATTTTGTCCAGGCTGATCTTGACCTCCTGGCCTCAGGCAATCCTCTCCCCTTGGTTTCCTGAAGCACTGGGATTACAAGTGTGAGTCATCACACCTGGCTCCATTCTGCCCTACGTCGGTCCCTTTTTTTCAAGGATGCTCGCTCAGGTCAGGGAAAGGCCAGGTTTGATGCCTCATCTGAAGCCTGTTGGGTTCAGACTGAGACCTGCCCAGCCAGTGGCATCTCCACAGGGCCATTGGCAGTGCCCACAGGGTGCAGTTACCCGCTCACCTCCAGGACCCTGTGGGGACCAGGCAGGTTGGGAGAAAGAGAAACTTCAGCACTGGCATCTCCTCTAAACCAGCCACCTACAGCAGGAGCGGCTCTGCAGTGGACCTTGCCTCCTTGAGACTGGCCTAGACCTACTGGAGAGCCCCTAGAACCTTCCAGAACCCAGCAAAACCCTGAAGGACCGTCTGGATGAAATCGGTTTTCTGATGAGGAGCTGCCCCATGAGGCTGCATGCTCAGCTCCCGGTGACAGCCATTCACTCTCAACAGGTCCTTGAGCCCACAGCGGCCCTCCTCGCATTCACTTGTGTCAAAGGCGTGACGCAGTCATAGCTTCGAGTGCAGATGCATTGGAGCCGTCTCCTAGCAACGGCCTAATGGCTCCCCTGTCTCCGCAGCCAGCTGAGAGCACAAAGGCAGCTTTTCAGGCCCCGCTTTCTCCCACCCACACACAGGACTTCGGGGTCCACTACACCTACCCCCTCTGCGGAAGCTAAATCATGTACATGAAGCAAGCTCAGGACATACGACAAAGGGCACTGAGACTTGCCGGCCCCCACTGTGCCCTCTAAGGGTCCCTTCTCTCCCTGTGGGGAGGAGCAGATCCCAAACCCAGCCTCAACACCATGGGCCATGATCAGTGTCCACCCAAACGAGCCTGTGTATGGGGTTCTGGAGCTGGAAGGGACTGAGCGAGGACCCAGCCTCCTCTCCTGGGTTAAAAGGGCACAGCTCACCCTCCCAGCATGGAGATGCTGTTTCCTTTCCAGCACGGAGGCTCCGCCAGGGTTTCAGTCCTCAGCCCTGACAGTGAAGAAGTGCTTCTTTATGTCTTGAGTTAGCTTTGCGTGTAACTCAGGCACATTCCTTCCTGTAAAATATATATGTTTTTCATTATAAAGTAATATGACCACATTACAGAAAACAGATACAAGGGGGAAAAAAGTAAGTCATCCATAATCCCACGACCCGAACATAAGGGCTGTCAGCATTTGGTATATTTCCGCTGTCTGTTTTTCTTCCAATGCATCTGCTATTTCCATACTTATAATCATGGCATACATACAATTTTGTGTCCTGCTCTTTCACTTAATATTTCCCTTAAAGTTATGCCATAAGCACTTTTTCATAGTTGCCATGTAGCCTTATTTTTAATGGCCATACATTATAACCAAAGACTAGACCGTTTCCTTTCCTTCAGCCTGGTTATGTCTGGGATAGGAGACTTGGGGTTTCTTTGCCAGCTGAACGCTCATCATTACCTTTTGCTCTTTTTTTTTTTTCCTCCTTCTCTAGGGACCAAGTTTTCAGGATTAATGTCAGGAATGGAGACGAGATCAGCAAATTGAGTCAGCTAGTGAATTCCAACAACTTGAAGGTACCTGGTTCTTCTTAGCTCTCCTGAGTGTCTTCTAACTTTGGTGGGAGAAGACTCTTGCTCTCCTGGTGTGATTATTTTTATTTCCGAAGAGTCTCTGAATATAATCCCGTGTTAGTCCACTTGCCTTTTACACAATTGAGGGGGGCCGATGAGAGAGGGAGCACCGTAGATCACGTCACGGCGGTGGAGTCCTGGGAGAAGAGATGCTTGAACAGCAGGCTCCATCCTTCTAGCTGCCATCCACTTACGACACTTGGTCTCTGTCAGATACTGCTTGTTGGGCAGGTCTGAGCAGACACAATTGTGAAATGGGCAGACTTTGCCCTTGGGCAGAGCCCAGCCTCTCAGGGATCACCCTGGCTTTTGGCAGTGTCCTAGAAGAATGAGCTCATTGGACATTTTACCTGAACTGTTCTTTAATCTGGTTTCATTTCTGTTCTCTTCAGCTCAATGTCTGGAAATCTCCCTCCACCTTCAATCGGCCCGTGGATGTCCTGGTCCCATCTGTCAGTCTGCAGCCAGTTAAATCCTTCCTGACTTCCCAGGGCTTGGAGTACGAAGTGACAATTGAGGATCTGCAGGTAGGTACACTAAGCCCCCTGCCTCCTGGTCTCGCATAGGGCCACGCAGCCGGTCCAGAGTAGACGGGAGAGATTTGCAATGTCTGGTTTTATCCTTTTCTATACTATAGATGAGGAAATTGAGGTAAATGGAAGTAAAGTGCAGTGACTTGTTAGAGGAACGACATTTTATTGTAAAAAGGGCATAAATAGGCCAGGGAACCACACAGATTTGGATCCAAATCCTGATTTTGCCAACTGCTAGTACTGTGTGCTGTGTCTTTGGACAAGCTATTAACGTGCAGAGCCTCTGTTTCTTCATCAGTAAAATGGTGACAGTGAGACGTACGTCATGTGATTTGTTGAGAAGATTCAGGATTAAATGTATGTAAAATGTCTAACAGTACCCGGCATATCCTAGATGAGCCTTAAGTCATAAGTCCCTCTTTCTTTTCTTCTTTGAAGTCAGGTGGCAAGAGCACAGCAGGGGGAGGGTGTTGGGGACCAGCCAAAGGTTGGGGACCACCCTTTGAGACAGGGGGAATGTCGACAGCCCCCAGCAGAGGGAACACCATCCTCTGGCCTCACGACCTGTATCTGAACATCAGGACAGGGTCTGGCTCATGCTCTCTGCTTCGCCGAGGTGGGTTGTGGACTAATTGGTGACCTGGCCTGGGAGTTTCCTGATGGCGTTAGCAGCTATGAGCTTATTAATCATCCTCACATGTCACAGACATCTGCCAGGAACCTTCAAAGTATGAGTGGTTATAAGAATGTCTTTGTTTCTGAATGGTTTCCCAAGCTGCGTATTTCAGAGACACTGGATACCAGATGCGGCCTGATGTCTAGAGAATTCATACTATAGAATAACCAAAGAGCACATATGTTGCTTCCAGGGAGTAAGTGGGTTTTGAATTAGGTGATGTAAGTTGGAAACCAAGAAGTACATTTATTTATTTATTTTTTGAGACGGAGGCTCGCTCTGTCGCCAGGCTGGAGTACAGTGGTGCAATCTTGGCTCACTGCAACCTTCGACTCCCTGGTTCAAGCGATTCTCCTGCCTCAGCCTCCCGTAGCTGGGATTACAGGCATGTGCCACATGACCAGCTAATTTTTGTATTTTTAGTAGAGATGGGGTTTCATCATGTTGGCCAGGATGGTCTTGATCTCCTGACGTCATGATCTGCCTACCTTAGCTTCTCAAAGTGCTGAGATTACAGGCACCAGCCACGGCCCAAGAAGTAAAATGTTAGAAAGATATGAAAGAAATCTGACCCCCTTTTAAACCTTGACATTTGCACTGCTTAATATGCTGAAGGGGCTGCCATCTTGGCTGGCCCATGTGCCAAGATATGGCAGAAAAACCATAAACCTACATCTGCAGAGCATCAGTTCACAACATTGCTGTGTGTTTTCAGACCCTTTTAGACAATGAAGATGAAGAAATGCGACAGAATGAAGGGCAAGAACGGAGCAGTAATAACTTCAACTATGGGGCTTACCATTCTCTGGAAGCTGTAAGTGTTTCAGAGTGAGTTAAGATCAAGGTTCTCTACCGCCTTACTTCCGGGAGACATTAGTCTTCAGCACAATATCCCCTCACTGAGGGGCTAAAATATGTACATTTCAATTCCTTTCTAGTTCTTGGATTGCTTCACTCCTACCAGCACCTAAGAGTGTCATGAAATACAACCTGACATTTCCCCCCTCAGCCATCCGTCTTTCCTTAAGCCACTCCTTAAGAACACCATGAAAATAATTGCAATCATTTCTAGTCGTTGTAATTCAACCTTCTTCTACCCTACCGTAAGCCCTCGATTTTACTTACCCAGCATACAATGTTACTTATTCCAGGCAGACAGACAAGTGGCGATTTCCAAGGTTAACCAAGTATTTCCACTCATTTATCATGACTACTTATGATGTACATATTTGTTCCATCATGCATTTTGGTGCCGTGTTTAGTTAGAAACCACTTGATATCGATGGCTGTTGAGGTAAGCCAAACCTTCAAATGAAAAACTTGAGGCAGAATAATTTCCTAGGATACTGGAACTTAGGAAATCAAGAGAGACTGTCGAATCGAACTGCATCATGAACGCGGTACAGTTCTCTTACACCCCTCAGGGTCGTCGTCTTCATTCATCTGCAGACCACGCGCTCAGGAACACACCCCCACATCTAAATGAGTGTTCCCCTTCCTGTACCTTAATACATCAAGGCATATGCTTTGAGTTGTTTCTCTTCTTGAGGGAGAATTTCAAAGGTTGACTATTTCCACTTCTTTCCCATGCTTGTCAGTAGCTTTGTTTATGGAATACACTTCCAACTGCACTGCGTCTTCATCCCCCTGTGACCAATGGCATACATGTGCGAAACAGCTGGATAAAGTTAGGAGTTCACTCCCAGGCCATGGATGAATGCAGAGCTCAGAGCCCACATAGGGATCAGGCCCATGACGTCAGCCTCATGAATGTGGGGCCCTTGGCAGCTGAGCTAACCAATTGCAAATGTCACCCTGGAGACCCTGGAGGGGCCATCCCCTCATCTGCCGGCTGCTGGAGCCTCACTGTCTCACCCACTCACCTCTGGTTTCTCCGGTTTGAGGTGCCCTTTGCAGCCTGGCTTACAGCAATCTTGTCCTCACACTGTGACACCCTCTACGTGGACTGGTGTGCCACCACCCTCCCAGCTTAGTTATATGCAGTTCTTTCTAAAAACAGCTTTTAAGAGCTCGTGTTCTAGGCTGGGCACGGTGGCACACACCTGTACTGCCAGCACTTTGGGAGGCTGGGACAGACAGAACACTTGAGGTTAGGAGTTCGAGATCAGCCTGGCCAACATGGTGAAACCTCGTCTCAACTAAAAAAATGCAAAAATTATCCAGGCGTGGTGGTGGGCACCTGTAGTCCCAGCTACTTGGGAGGCTGAGGCAGGAGAATCACTTGAAACCAGGAGGTGGAGGTTGCAGTGAGCTGAGATGGCGCCATTGCACTCCAGCCTGAGTGACGAAGCAAGACTCTGTCTCAAAAAAACAAACAAACAAACAAAACCTCACAGTCTATAACCACTTAGGCTTTCTTAGGTCTCTAGTGGGAACCTCATGCTTATTTCCGCCAGAGTTTCTGGCTCCAAAGCCATTATTTGTGTGGCGGGCAGTGTGAATTTGCACCCCACACCTGGACACAGCTTGGTGTTTTAACTTTTCCTGGTGATTCTCTTTTTTCTCAAGGTTCAAAGCAGCCATCCTGCTTTTCCTATACTCTCTAGGGTCAGTGGGTAGAGTGGGCAGAATCTCCAGGCCCTATTTGAGGCCCAAATTGCCCCTTCCAAGCTCTCAAATTCCAGCTCTTTGTCCCATGCTGGGTCCTATGTCTCCCCTCCTAGTTTAGGTTTGCCTAAGCCCGCAGCACCCAAGGCGGAGATTGGGCTCTGTGGCATGAGCTCTCACCCTCCACCTTCCTAGTTAGTTCCTTCATTGTTTCTGGCACCTACAGTTTCCTCTTGTTCAGCTTTTAAACTTGGCTGTGAATCATTTTTCTTGTATTTTACCTGGCTGGCCTGTGTATTTAGAGGTGGTTTCTTGCTGCGGCTCAGTCTACCGTATTGATGGCAAATCTGAAACCCTTTAAACTTGACTTTGTTCTGTATCAATTACACATTTTCCTCCTCCGTAGAGTTTCTTCTTCTAGTCTTAAAGCCAAAACAAATACATTTGTTTATTTTCTTTTGGCCCTCAAGTGGTTTGAACAACTAAGATGGATAAATTCTATTTATATCAAACTTTTTTCCTGAGAGCAAATAAGGGTATCCTTTGCCATTTATTTACCTTGCTTCACTGCGTTCACAAAGCCTTTAGAGAATTATCTCTAAAGCGGGGCATGTGTATCCATGGGGTATAAGCAAGATAGTCCACTAGGATGAAGGAAGAAATGATTACAACTTCTATTTATATTTCTACATATATTTCTGTGTACTATTAACACAACCATTTCAATTGTTTAATAATGTACATAATATATTTGTATCATTGTGTGTGTGTCTGTGTGTGTGTACATACATATGGTGCATGCTAATTTTTGATTTTTTTTTGAGTAGAGAATGTGATCACAGAGGCTTGGAGAGTACTGTTTTTAAGAGCCTTGGAGCTCTTTCTTTTTTTATTTTTCAGACAAGGCTTCACTTGTCGCCCAGGCTGGAGTGCAGTGGTGCATTCACGGCTCACTGTAGCCTCAACCTCCCAGGCTTGAACGATTCTCCCACCTCAGCTTTCCAAGTAGCTGGGACCACAAGCACATGCCTCTGCAGCTGGCTAATTTTTTTTTCATTATTTCTAGAGTTGGGGGGTCTCCTTACGTTGCCCAGGCTGGTCTCGAGCTCCTGGGCTCAAGTGCTTCTCCCACCTTGGCCTCCCAAAGTTCTGGGATTATAGGCACAAGCCACCGCACTTGGCTTGTTTTTATTTTATTATTCTTCTTACATTTTTAAATTTCTTTCTTTTTTTCCCTCCTCCACATTTTTCATGAATACTTTTTGGTTTTGAATGTTAGTCAGGGTCTCACTATGTTGCCCACACTGGTCTCAAACTCCTGGCCTCAAGCAATCCTCTTGCCTCAGTCTCCCAAAGTGGTAGGACTACAGGCATGAGCCACTGTGCCTGGCTTCTTGTCTTTCACTGTCCAGTCTAGTACGGAGCAAAAGGACACACTGTTAGAGCAATATCTGGAAAAGTCTCTATACCTAGTTTAGTGGACTATGATTTTGTGAACAAATAAAGTGTGCTACTCTCTTAGAAGACTGTAGAAAAGGACTCTTCAAGCACTTCTCATAATCAGGATTTTCATGCCGATAATATGGTCAACTCCAAGATCAGGGTACTGGAAGAGGTAATTCAGACGGGAAAGGTAAAGTTTGCAGATACCCAGCCAGAGCTGAGCAGATTTTTAAAATGTCCCTGGCTTCACTGTTTCATGCTTCAGATTTACCACGAGATGGACAACATTGCCTCAGACTTTCCTGACCTGGCGAGCAGGGTGAAGATTGGACATTCGTTTGAAAACCGGCCTATGTATGTACTGAAGGTAAGGCCACATGCCCTTGGAGGGATCTCCTGGGTTCCCATATCCAGGACCCAAACCTCAGACCTCTGCAAAGGGCAGCTTTTTGAACTCCTTGACTTCAGGGAGGAACGCGAGGTCAGGACACATTGTACCTGGGGTGGAACTTGGTCTGACAGAGTCCCCTGCTTTTGTCTAATGCGGGGGGTGGGGGGGTGTTAGAAGGAACGCATCCCATTCCAAGTTGTGGCTGAAAGACAGGATCAGAAGGAGGCGATTAGTATTCCAGAAAGCTCTCAGATGGGACAGAGTCTTTTGCTTTCATTCTCACCTCTGTAAATAGCAGGACAAGTTGGGATAGGCCTGAGACTTCTATTCTGCTTTCAGGGGGTACTTATTGGAAAATCAATCTAGGAAGCTACTTGGAGGGTTGGTGTAATTTTAAGCCCAGCTTCTGATCCTTGGCTGCACAAAGCCTCATTTCCAAATATTTCTAACAGATTCAGGTCTAAAAGAGGTAGAGAACTATGGTCATGACATAAATTACATAAATAATCCGGCTGAATGAATAAGAAGGAATTTGGGCATATAACCCATGGAACAACTGATGGTGCTAAGAATCTGCCAAACCCTTAGCTTCGTATAAGTCCCAAAGAACTCAGGCTTATAGTACCAGGCAAGTGACCAGTGTGGGAGGAGACCTGCCGTGGAGCTGGTTGCTCTAGAATAATTACGTTTAAATAATTTGCCAATCTGATGGAGACCCTGGCTTCATTAGCATCGAGCTCTCACCCCAGGGGGCCCAACACTATGGCAGAGGCAGGAGCCAGGATTCATGACTGTCATTTACAAAGAGCTATGGCGAGCCTCCCTTCTTTTAATTTTAAACCAAATTCATTTATCGTTTCGACCAAACAGCCTGGCTCGTGTACCCTTCTGTCTCTCACTGTTGGGATACCATTTGAGGTCTTTCAAGAGACATGACATTATCTCTAATGGCACCGGCATCATAATCCACAGTAACGATTGTTTCCTCTTCCATTTGCTCCGAATGCTGGAGAGATTCAGGCTGCCTGGAGCTGCACTTGGCCCCGCAGCCAACCAATTAAGCTTCCTGGTCACGGATAAACTCAATAAATAGATGGTGCCCTTAGGAACATTTGGTCCCTGAATTATCTTAAATGAATTAAATGAATGGGAGAGAGATAGGGAGAGGAAAAGGGAGCAGAGGTGTGGGCAGGCAGGTCATTTTCGAGCTTCTTCTCCCTTCTGCAGTTCAGCACGGAGGAAGGCGTGCCGCGGCCGGCCATTTGGCTGAATGCAGGCATCCATTCCCGAGAGTGGATCTCCCAGGCCACTGCAATCTGGACGGCAAGGAAGGTCATGTCGCCTGGTATTCGCCAAGAATGCTGATGGGCCCGGGGTGCCCTGAAGCATACCACGTGGCTGGGCCTGGGGCATGAGGTGGGAGGGTGCTCTGCTAAGACCCACTCTGCTGGGGGCCCTTTCAGATTGGAGAAGCAAATGGTCAAAGCCCCTTGGTCAGCTCACTGGGGCCAAATGATTGTGTTCGTGGTGGTGAGCAAGCTGATATGCAGCAGAAGTGGGCCTGAGCCTCTGAGCCTGAGCCTCTGCTCCCGCAGAAAGGGAGCAAAGCAACACCCAGACGAGGCCCCATAGGCCCTCGGGGACCTCATGCCATCTCCACCTCCTGGAAAGGCTGCTGGGAGTGGAGGAGGGGTGCATGTGGAGAACACATCTTCCGTCCTTCTTCATTGGAGGCTCAAATTCCTAAAAGCTATGATGATGTGTGTGGTTCCCTCCTAAAGCATGTGCCCCAGGACTCACTGCCATTGATGTCATCAGCAGCCATGTCCCCAAGCAGCCGTGCCTCTCCAGGCTTTGAAGGGCTCAGAGAGCTGTGCAGAGAGCTGAGCCTCTGAGGGTGGCAGGGAGGCTTTTGAGGGTAGATGCCGTTCTAGGAGCATCCATTCTAGCTGGTTGCCAGGCATCTTGAGAAGATACATGGTTCAGACCTAATGACCCAGCCTGCGACGGGATAGCTGACAAGCATGTTGTCTCTGCTTAGATTGCATCTGATTACCAGAGGGATCCAGCTATCACCTCCATCTTGGAGAAAATGGATATTTTCTTGTTGCCCGTGGCCAATCCTGATGGATATGTGTATACTCAGACTCAAGTGAGTAGTCCCAAGTGGGCTGGGCTTGGAGATTGTTGAATTCCTTGCTTTGCCAGGAACTAATTGTCTGACCTTGGAGAGGATTTCCACAAATGTGCACGTTATGAGCTTCCTTGGGATTTCATTTTCTAGTCATCCTCAGAGCTGAGAATCACCAAGTGATATTTTTTCTTAGAGAAAATTGTCTAATGAATCCCCATCATGAATCTTAACAATTACCAACATTTTACCAATCTTCTTTTCATCCCTTACCCTCCCACACATTTTTCCTGACGTATTTAAAGCAAATCAACACATTATGTTACTTCACGTCAAATTACTTTAGTATGCATCTCTAACTGATGATAGAAAAAAAAAAAAAAAACCTTAAAAAACCCCCATGGTGCTACTAACACCTTTAAAGGATTAATGGAGGTTCTTTAACATCATCTAACACTCACAGTTATCTTTAAAATGGAGGCTGAGGCAGGCAGATCACCTGAGGTATTTAAAGCAAATCAACACATTATGTTACTTCACGTCAAATTACTTTAGTATGCATCTCTAACTGATGAAAAAAAAAAAAAAAAAAAACCTTAAAAAACCCCCATGGTGCTACTAACACCTTTAAAGGATTAATGGAGGTTCTTTAACATCATCTAACACTCACAGTTATCTTTAAAATGGAGGCTGAGGCAGGCAGATCACCTGAGGTCAGGAGTTCGGGACAAGCCTGGCCAACATGGTGAAACCCCGTCTCTTCTAAAAATGCAAAAATTAGCCGGGTGTGGTGATGCATGTCTGTAATCCCAGCTACTTGGGAGGCTGAGGCACGAGAATCACTTGAACCTGGGAGGCAGAGGTTGTAGTGAGCTGAGATTGCACTACTGTACTCCAGCCTAGGTGACAGAACAAGATTCCGTCCCCCCAAAAAAGTCTTTTAAGAGTCTATTTGTTCAAGTGGGGACCCCACAAGGTCTACACATGCATTTGGTGCTGTGTCTCTGTGGTCTCTTTTATTCTACAGCAGCACCACACACACCTTTAAAAAGTGTCACTCATTTAGGGGAGGAGAATTTGTCCTGTACAGTGTCTCACATTCTGAATTTGGCTGATGGCTTCTTCGTTGTGTCATTTAGTTTGTTCCCTTAACCCCTGTGTTTCCTATTGACCAATTGCTAGGTCTAGAGCCTGATTGGATTCAGGGATCTTTTTTAGGCTAGCAAGAAACAGGGGCTGTGCACGTCCAGTTACATCCGTTATCATCGAGGTTAACAGTGTCCATTTGTTCCACTTCTGCCAAAGCCAAAAATTGTTCAGTGGATTCAGGTGGTATCTGACTGGTTCTAGCGTATAAGGGTCTCATCAGTACATTTGGAAGAAGTCCTTCTCTTAGAGCCAGAAGGAGAAATACTCCTCTGTCTGCAGGAGGAGAGATGACTGCTCAGTCAGTGAGGACTGGAGCCCCAAGGCCCTCCTGGCAGAACTGCAAGCAGCCTGCCCTGGCCGTGTGTCATCTCTACCCTAGCCCTCGTCAGTGCTCTGATCTGCCTCAGGTTGTTTGTCCTCTCCTTGGTGGCTTTTTCAGAATCGATTATGGAGGAAGACACGGTCCCTAAATCCTGGAAGCCCCTGCTTTGGTGCTGACCCAAATAGAAACTGGAACGCTAGTTTTGCAGGTAGGTGTGGGGAGACAGTTCTCAAATCCTGCTGCCCTGGGCTAGCCTGGTCTACCCACGCCCTGAGCTGTCCGGGATGGAGCCCGTTTCTACTCTGTTTTCATTGCTGTGTCACTGAGAGACTGAGGCGCATTCCTTAGGCTCCGACTTAGTGTTTTGTTTGTTGTTGGTTTTTTTTTTGAGATGAAGTCTTGCTCTGTTGCCCAGGCTGGAGTGCAGTGGTGTGATCTTGGCTCATTGCAATCTCTGCCTCCTGGGTTCAAGTGATTCTCCTGCCTCAGCCTCCTGAGTAGCTGGGACTACAGGCACACGCCACCATGCCCGGCTAATTTTTGTATTTTTTTTTTTTAGTAAAGATGGGGTTTTACCATGTTGGCAGGATGGTCTCGATCTCCTGACCTCGTGATCCACCCACTTTGGCCTCCCAAAGTGCTGAGATTACAGATGTGAGCCATTGAGCCTGGCCTTTTTTTAGTTTTTGAGACAAAGTCTTGCTCCATTGCCCAGGCTAGAGTGCAGTGGCAGGATCTCAGCTCACTTTCACTGCACCCTCTGCCTCCCAGGTTCAAGTGATTCTCCTGCCTCAGCCTCCTGAGTAGCTGGAACTACAGATGTGGGCCACCACGCCCAGCTAATTTTTGTATTTTTAGTAGAGACAGAGTTTCGCCATGTTGGCCAGGCTGGTCTCAAACTCTTGACCTCAGGTTGCCCTCCTGCCTCAGCTTCCCAAAGTGTTGGGATTACAGGCGTGAGCCACTGCACCTGAGCTGTTTTTTTTTTTTCTTTTTGAGACAGAGTCTTGCTCTGTCGCCAGGCGCCAGGCTGGAGTGCAGTGGCAGGATCTCCGCTTACTGTAACCTCCACCTCCTGGGTTCAAGCCATTCTCCTGCCTCAGCCTCCTGAGTAACTGGGACTACAGGCACGTGCCACCACGCCCAGCTAATTTTTGTATTTTTTAGTAGAGATGGGGTTTCACCACATTGGCTAGGATGGTCTCGATCTCTTGACCTCGTGATCCACCCGCCTAGGCCTCCCAAAGTGCTGGGATTACAGACGTGAGCCACTGCGCGTGGCCGTTTGTTGTTTTTTAAAATGTATTTTTTTTTTTTTTTTACTTTGAAAGGGAATGATAGTAATGTCTGTCCTCCCGAGAGAATGGTGGGGCAGCGCATCATTACATTGAGATTGCAATCTACACTAATATTTTTAAAACACCGTACTCTTAGGCATACGAAACAGGGAACCTTCCTTATCCCTGACCTTACCAGCCCTGCCTGGGCAAGTTGTGAGTGGGCAGAAGGACTCCTGGCAGCACCTCCCAGCGAGCAATTAGCACTGTCACCCCAATAGGCAAGACTGTGCTATGAAAATCCCACTCCAGTACGTTTAGATATCAACCTTAGCAGCTGGCTGTCAGGGAAAGGAAAAGAGAATTAGCAGACCTGGGCTCTGATTTAAAAACCACCCTCTGCAAAAGTGCTGACTGTGTACCAAATACCTTCCCGTATTTATCGTATTTATTCTTCTCGCCTAGCGAGTGAATTTTGTGATCTGAAATGAGATGGTTGAAGCCCAGAGACAATCTCAAGATGTCGTGGGTGATCAGAATGCTGATCTAAACTCACCTTCCAATTCCAAATCTAGACCGTTCTCTTTCACTGTTCCTAGGCTGTGCTGATGGGTTGTTTGTTTTGTTGAGACAGGGTCGTGCTCTGTTATCCAGGCTGGAGTGTAGCGGTGCGATCACGGCTCACTGCAGCCTTGACATCCTGGGTTCAAGCAATCCTCCCACCTCAGCCTCTTGAGTAGCTGAGATTATAGGCACACACCAGAATGCCTGGCTAATTTTTGTATTTTTTGTGGAGATGGGGTTTTGCCATATTGCCCAGGCTGGTCTTGAACTCCTGGGCTTAAGAGATCCTCCCATCTCAGCCTCTCAAAGTGCTGGGATTACAGGCATGAGCCACTGCGCCTGGCCCTGATGGTTTGTTTTTAATGTACTCCTTTTACTTGTATGGAAATACCACAAAAACCACTGGGGGAACATAATGACTGTGGGAAAAACAAAACTTTGAAACTCAGGGTTTCAAAGTTAAGTTAGATATTCCCACCACTGGGGTGGTTTCAGTCGCACTCATACACACACACACAGACACACACGCACGTGTGCACACCCCCCCCCGAAACCTGAGGGAACTACATTATGAAGTAATACAGAAGGCAGTGTTTTTAAATACCTGTCAAATAATCGAGATTTTAGCTACAACAATTGATTATTTCTGACACACTTGGCCTTTAAGATCTGAACCAAGAGAATAAGTTGACACCAGAATAAATGGAGTCATTTCCATTATTTATTGGTATTCATATTAATTATCTAGACTACTTATTAATTACAACTCATTCTCAAGGGTGATATTAATTATTTATGACAACTCCCATTGGTACAATGCAGGGTCAACTCTAGCAGTTTTTCTCCTCAGCTGTAGCAGACCCAACATCCAACCCTCCCTCTCCCGGACCCTCTCTGCAGTCCGTGCCCACCGTGGACTAGTGCTCAGGGCCGTCTCGCCGTGGCCTGTCTGTGGCCAATACCTTCGGCCCCTCCTCTGGGTTGAGTGTCTTAGCTTCTGTGTTCTTAGACTATGAGTTAACGTTTCTGCTTGGGCTGACCCCAACAGGAAAGGGAGCCAGCGACGACCCTTGCTCTGAAGTGTACCATGGACCCCATGCCAATTCGGAAGTGGAGGTGAAATCGGTGGTAGATTTCATCCAAAAACATGGGAATTTCAAGTGTTTCATCGACCTGCACAGCTACTCGCAGCTGATGATGTATCCTTATGGGTACACAGCCAAAAAGGCCCCTGATGCTGAGGAACTGGTGAGTCACAGCTGCCTGCCACCCAGCCCAGGGCCTCCTGACCCTTCTGGTGCTGCTAAGGTGGTAGCTCTGCAGCTTTATAGGGAAGGTCCAGGAGCCTGGGCATGTTTCATCGAAGGCCCAGTCTTCTCTCCCTGCCCTGTGGGTTGTGCCGTCATCTGCTGTGTCTGCTGTGAGTTCCCAGAACCATGCCTGCCCCTGCCTCTCCTTCTCCCTTGTTTTTCTGACTGCAGTGTATTATGGACCCACTGCCTGCCAAGGACTTTGGGAGGCACCCGGGTGGGCAAGGGGAAAGCTCCTCACTCTAGTGAAGGAAGAGTTCAGGGAGGGCGAAGGCCACAGCCTGGGGTGCCCTGTGTGTCATCCAGAACGTGGGCCATCCGGAGCAGGGCTGGCGTCTGCAGGGTGACTGCAGGTAGCTGCCCAGGGCCACAGCCAGCCCTTGAACCTTGGGCAGACGTAGCCCCTCCTGGGCTCATGGCAAAGCTGGGGCTAGATTCTGCTGCCCCACCCCTACGCAGCCTCTCTGGCAGGCACTTTACACAGGGGTCATCTGCCTGTGGTGGTCCTCCTCCTTCTCCACTCTGCACACCCGACTCTTTGAGAGCCTTCTCTAGAACATATTTGGCCTCCCTCATGTCCCTGTGTGTGACGTCCCCCTCCTCAGGACAGGTGAAGAGGGTGGTGCCTTTACTAGACTCCTAGCGGGTCAATGAGCAGCCCCAGATCCCCCATCTCTTCCAGTCCGAGTACATAACACACAGGCTGCCCCTTCCTTCCTCACCTCCTTCCCCAAACTGGGAGTCAAGAACTGAGGGTGTGGTGAGAGAAAGAGCTGAAGCAACCACAGCCCCTCCCTCGGTTTACAGATGGGCCTTGGGTCTGGGCGAAGGTGAAAGAGGGAACCAGAAAGGAAATCAGGGGAGGGGCTGAGAATCTTCCAAACCATCCCTGAGCAGAGCGGCTGAGGAAGGTCAAGCTTCAGGATCTGTTCTTTCTCACTCCACGGATTCCCCCTTTCCAGGACAAGCTGGCGAGGCGTGCGGCCAAAGCTCTGGCTTCCGTGTCGGGCACTGAGTACCAAGTGGGTCCCACCTGCACTACTGTCTGTAAGTAGTCCCCGTGTTTATTAGTTATTTAGGAAGCGCTTTGGGAGGAGACTCGAAACAGAGGAGGAGAGCTGCAAGTTAGACTTCCTATTTGTCATCGGATTGTTTTTGTTGTTAATAATAGACTGAACTACGTCACGCCTGTGTGGTGACAGCTGCTGCATGCAATCCTCTTCATCAACATCATGTCAAAAATTCCTCATGCCCACCCTTCCATTTTCAAAGGAAACCTACCTTTCAGTTGGTAAACTGATGGTGGTAGGGGAGTTGGGGGAGACTCCCTCACCTTCCTATAAGAGATGAACAAACATAGAGCCTGGGCAACATAGCAAGACCCATCTGATATGGTTTGGCTGTGTCCCCACCCAAATCTCCTCTTGAATGTTGTGGGAGGTAATTGAATCATGGGGCAGGCCTTTCCTGTGCTGTTCTCATGATAGTGAGTAAGTCTCCTGAGATCTGATGATTATTATAAGGGGGAGTTTTTCTGCACAAGCCCTCTTCTTGTAAGAATTAGAGAAAGAGGAAAGAAAGATGAAAAGTGGTTTAACAGTCAAAGGCAGATCTATTCTGGGAGTAAATCTGAGAGGGGCTTCTGGCTGATTTCAGTCAGGAGCCTTCTCTCTTACAGTTTAGGGGTATTTAAGGGCTTAGGGAGGGGGAGCCTATTGCAGGTTCAGAATCTTTCTGTGTGAAGGAGAGTTTATTTCGGGTTGGAATGTCTCTGATCAGAGGGGAGGTTATCTTGGGGTTGGCATGTTTCTGGTCAGAGGGGAAGTTTATCTTAGGGTTTGAATATTTCTGGTCACACTGACATTACCTATTGGGCTGATGTTTTGGGCTGGTTTTTAATCACGGGTAACTGAAAAGGGCAGTATTTGCCCAAGATGGTGATGCTCCTGCTGTGTCAATCCAGACCCTATAGTTATAAAAGGACAAAGGGTGGCATGTTCTTTTTGCCTACTTCCTGCTGAGGGGGCATGGAGAGGTTTTTGGTCCTGGATTGACTGTGGGAGTAACGCTGTCTGTGGATGTTTTTGGGCAGTAGTCGGTGAGATGGCCATGATTCTATCGGTTAAACATCTTTGAAAAAGATTGATTAGGCAGGGTAAGAACATTAGTCCTAGGCATGTTATTAGAAGAGAGCCCAGGAATGGGATGACCTGTGTTATGGTTTTGTTTCCAAACCAATAATTTATTTGTTTGTTTTGCTAGTCCCTTAGTTTTTCAACCCTTTTTAAAAGTTTTTCAGCAGCGTTTCTTAATAGGCCCAGTTGGTTGAGGTAGAAGCAACATTTCTTACCCAATGAGAGGCAGAGGCTCCCTTTTTCAGCTGTTGTAAGATTTATTCCCCATCTGTTTTGAAGGACTACTCCAGTTAAGGAGTCTAGTAGGTCTTGGGCTTTTATAAAGCTTTGGGCTATATATATATATATATTTTTTTTTTTTTGAGACGGAGTTTTGCTCTTATTACCCAGGCTAGAGTGCAATGGCGCGATCTTGGCTCACCGCAACCTCCGTCTCCTGGGTTCAGGCAATTCTCCTGCCTCAGCCTCCTGAGTAGCTGGGATTACAGGCACGTGCCCCCATGCCCAGCTAATTTTTTGTATTTTTAGTAGAGACGGGGTTTCACCATGTTGACCAGGATGGTCTCGATCTCTTGACCTCGTGATCCACCTGCCTCGGCCTCCCAAAGTGCTGAGATTACAGGCTTGAGCCACCGCGCCCAGCTGGGCTATATTTTTTAAAGAACCCTGTAGTTCTGTTGAGTTTTTTTGGATTTTGTTTTTGTCTTTCTTTTTGACGTGGAGTCTCATCCTGTCACCCAGGTTGGAATGCAATGGCTCCATCTCAGCTCACTGCACCTCCGCCTCCCAGGTTCAAGCGATCCTCCTGCCTTAGCCTCCCAAATAGCTGGAATTACAGGCGCACGCCACCACACCCAGCTAATTTGTGTGTGTGTGTATCTTTAGTAGAGACAGGGTTTCACCATCTTGGCCATGCTGGTCTCGAACTTCTGACCTCGTGATCTGGCCACCTCGGCGTCCCAAAGTGCTGGGATTACAGGCGTGAGCCACTGAGCCTGGCTGAAAGAATTTTAAAGTATGTTAAAGAGGTGGACAATCTGCCTGCTCCCAATCCAAGTTCGGAGGGCATACCTAAGGCCGCCATCAGAGAAATGACGCGGATGGCCCTCTTTTTAAAAACTTATTGGACGGAGGGAAAAGGTTGATTAGAAGGAATTAGTTTAATGGGGGGAGAAAGATAAACTAGGGTGCAGGCTCCAGTTTAGTTGGTGGGGAGACAGAGACATGTGTTGGTGCCGCACCAAAAGAACAAGCCTTTGTTGTAAGTACAGGCGGAGATACGGAAAGAAAACAAGTGAATGAAAGATGGGGTGTTTTTTCTTTCTTGTGGTTTATTACTCCAGATGGACAATAGGAAGTGTTTTTTTTTAAACACAATAAGGCAGTTGGATGTTGCACCATTGATACTGAACCATGGGAAAGGGTGGGCGCTAGGAATGCACAAGTTAGGCTGGAAGCATTGATTGAGGGAGAGGCTGTAAAACCAGTGGGTTGCACCGTTTGCTTCTGGCGATTCTTGGTAGTCAACTTAGTTTGATGGTCAGAGGCGTGTTTAATAATGGTAGTGCATTTGCATTGGTTATGTGTTAAGAACCCTATAGGGAAATTCTCCTTAGAGGCAAAGTGAGGCTGTTGTAAAAGGGGGGCATGTTTAGTTATGGCCCCTTCAATGGGAGGGCATTGGGGCTTGAGGCATTGTAGGGAGTTGTAATAGGTTTGAAATAATTTGTTGGCCTGATTGGTCCTGGAAGTGGGATAATCGCTGACCAGGGTGTCAGTTCTTTTAAAAAAGGAAGCTCCTTTTGGGGGTTTATAAATCAGGATTATGTTTCCTGTGAAAAGGTCATGCAGGGGTGTAGGAAGGGCTGCATAAGCTGAAAAGACAGACATAAACACATCTAGCATTCCGGAGCAAAGGAACAGTTAGCTTGTAGCAAGAGGAATCGTGCCAAGGTTTACAGAGCATTCCAGTTTGAGAGTGGTGAGGAGTGGTTGTATTGGTGAGGTTGATGGGATCAGGGAATTTATATTGAAAGAAACAAACAAAAGGAGAAAAAAGTTATTTGCGTAGGAGTAAAGTTCTGGAAAGTTCCTTGAAGCCATAGGTCCCACAGTTCAGTAAGGAGCTGATCAGGGTGTATAGTGGGAATTTTGTAAGGGTATCACTGAAGGTCTCTAATGAGGTTGGTTAGGAAGTGATGAAAATTTGGGAGAGAAAGAAATATAAGCAACTGATGTGGATTTCTCTTCCTTTTTCCTCGGGATTTGGGTGAGGCAAGGGTAAGTGGGTCATGTGGAGATACAAGAGAAGGCTGAAGGGGTTTTAGACGTGGTTGTTTGGGTGTGTGGTGAAGGGAAGCCTGCTTTCTTGAGAGAAGTATCATGAAAGCAGCTGGGGAGTCTCTGGAGCTTTGCTGCCGTAGGTGTAGTGAGGATGATCTGGTAAGGTCCTTTCCATTGAGGTGTGAGCGGGGAGCTGGGAGTAGGGCTGGGGTCTGTTAACAGAACCCCGTCTCCTGGCTGTAGGGAGGGATTAGAAGAGTCGGTTACAGGTTGTGCCAGGCATTTGTCAGCATATTCCCAAATAAAACAGTGGATGGTATACAGAAGGGGGGAAATGAGAGGGGTGGGAAGAGGTGGGGCTTGACTCGAGGTGGAACAAAAGGGGCGAGTGGTCTTTCAGACATGAGTTTATAGGGGCTGAGCATTGGAGGTTTACATGGGAGTGCCCGAGTTTTTAGAAGGGCCAAAGGTAAAAGTGTAACCCAGTTTGTCTGTGTTTGGTGAGTACCTGGTGAGGGTGTTTTTTAGAATGTTATTCATTTTTTTCAACCTTTCCTTAAGATTGAGGTTGATGGGGGATGAGTAGCTTCCAGGTGATTTGTAGGGCTTGTGCAAGTGTTTGAGTAATTTGAGAAGTTAATTCAGGACCCTTCTCAGATTGGAAAAAAAAGAGGCACCCCGAACCTGGGTATGATTTCTATTATTAATTTGGAGCTGACAGTAGAAGGTTGTTTGTTAGATGAGAAAAACCTTGACCCATCCCGAAAGGTATTAACCAGAACAAAAACAAATGGAATCTTTTTTGCTGGGGAAATATGGGTAAAATGAATTTGCCAGTCTTGTCCTGAAAGGTGTCCCCTGGCTTGATGGGTTGAGAGAAAAGGGGGTTTGGTTTTGGAAGGGGGTGATGCTTTCTGACAAATAGAGCATTGATGGGAAATGGCTTTTAACTGTTCCTTTATATCTGGGGTTATGCGTATATGGGAAGTTAAGAACTGTAGTGGGGAATGGCTCTGTGGAAGAGATTGTGGATATCCCATAAAAGAGTTGTTTTTGAGGGTTTGGTAGAACTAATTTGTTTCATATGAACCAGTATGGGGGTTTGACTTGCGCCCTCTCCATAACTAGTTGCTGTGTTTGGTGTTTAGGATAAAAGGAGGGGATCTGTCATATGAGGAGAAATAGGTATTAGGGAAATGGAGGATTGGTTGAGACGTGTTTTGCCCAATAATCATCCTCATCGTTCCCTAAAGAAATGTAGCTCTTACCTGATTGATGTCCTTTGCAATGGATAATAACTCCAACCTTTTCTGGAAGTAAAGTGGCCTTTAATAGATGATAGATTAGTTTTCCATTAATGATAGGAGTTCTCTCAGCCGTGAGATACCCTGCTCGCTCCAAATCTGGGCATTGGAATGGATGATGTTATCGGCATATTTAGAACGGGTGTGTATATTAACTTGGGTGTTTTTTGCTAGAATTAGTGCTCTTATTAGGGCAACTGATTCTGCTTCTTGGGAGGATGTGCCCAAAGGCAAGGGGGCAGCCTCTACAACTCTTATAGGTGGGAATCATCATGCTATCCCTCAATAATGGCATATCCTGCTTGGAGGGAGGGCTTGTCGATGT